CACATCGTGCTGAAATTTTGGGGGCTGCTGATGGCCAGGCCCACATAAACCCCTGAGTGCCAGGGCTTGGCCGCCATGATCTTTAGGCTGCCATTGCGGTAGACCTCTAAGGAGCGGTTGCTGTTGCCCGGGTGTTTGATGGGCTCATAGTAAGGGGAGATCCACATGTAGGTGGTGGCTGTCTCCGGCAGGCTGGCATTGCAGGTGATCAGGAGGGCCTCTCCCACAAGCACTGGGAAAGGCAGGGGGTGCAGGTTTTCAGGGCTCGCTGAGCAGTTCTCAAACATCTGGCTGTATTTGAGGAACTTAATCAGGGATCGGGGCACGTTGTCAGAAACCTTGCAAGTGTGTTCCTCAAAGAAGTCCTTCACAGAGCTGAAACCTTGCTGCGTCCACCTCTGGAGCATCAGGTAGAGCGCACAGCTGCACCTCATGGGATTGTTGTGCAGATACAAGCCGTTCCTGATGTTTTCAGGCAACATTGCCAGCTCCTCCACAGGGATGTGACTCAGGTTGTTGGAGGAGAGGTCCAGTGTGCGGAGGCTGTAGTTGCCGAGACCTTGCACTGAGCGGAAGGGGAAATTGGTAAGGTTATTCCAGCTCAGGTAAACTTTCCGCAAGCCACTGAGCTTGGCAAAAGCATTTTCATCTACTCGGGCAATCTGGTTGTTGTAGAGCAGAAGCTCTTCTAAGCTCACCAGCGCATCAAAGTAGTGTGTCTTGACGGCATGCAGGTGGTTGGAGGACATGTCGAGATGCCGCAGGTAGGAGGCATTGTGGAAGGCCTGCGGAGAAAGGTCTTTAATCTGATTGTGACTCATGTGGAGGGCCTCAAGGTGTGGGAGGGCAGCCAGCCAGCAGTCATGGAGCTGGGTGAGGGCATTGTGGCTGAGATCCAGCGTGGTTGTGGTGGGGGGCAGCGCTCGAGGGACCTGCTGCAACATCTGCTGGGTGCAGCTCAGGAGGTCGGACGTGCAGATGCAAGCAGCTGGGCATCCACGGGGCACGGGCGAAGCGTGGAGAGCATG